TTTACCCTAGGCCTTCCTGGAGACCAGTTTGTAACCAGGAAGGAACTAGAAAAGTGACAAAGGAAGTATTCCGTATCATTCCTTTCTGTAACACAACATATAAAAAGGCACAGATAAGAGAGTTCGCTTTTCTCTCTTCCGGTGGCTGAAGGTCTCTCCGTAGACGGGCTTTGCTTATATAGGCCAGGGCCTGCTACTCAGACCTGCCGTTATCTCCAGTCTCTCCGTGAGGCGTGGGGGAATTGGCTGCTGCCTTGCACAGCTCTGCTGTCCCGCTCAGGGAAGTATTTTATTTGTCTTTATATTTATTCTTTAGCTCTCTATTAACGGGTATATTTAGAAGATATTTGGTTTTTAGGTTTCTTTTTATCCCTGTTTTCCCCCCCCTCCTTTTCCCTGTTGTGTATAATATATTCAAATTGTAGGTATAATTGTAAATATATGTAATATATATATATTTGATATAATCCCTTTTCGTTTGAACTTTTTTCAGTTTTTTTCCCGTGGTTCATTTTCTTTTCTCTTGCTTGGGGACAGCTTGGACTTGGCAGGAGAGCCAGGCCAAACTGATACACACATTCTTATTGGGGGCTCATCCAGGATATTTTGGTTAAGTTTGGCCTGTTTTGAAAACATTGTCCAGGAAGACAGCCAAGCTCGATGTTATTTTGCAAACCAATCTATTGTTTTGGGAACAGGTCCAGGAACGCTGCCAGAGTCCGGGAAAACTGCCAAGTGCAGTCTTTGTTTACCTCCTCAGAGTCGAGGGTGCCAAGCTTTGAGGCCAGCCCTGCTGCGGAGCACAGCCACTGGTGGCCCCGGGCCTGCTCAGCACAGCAGGACTGACACTCTGCTCCTGATGAGTTCAGCGTCCCTAGACTAGGGAAAAACCAGTCACCACCTTGTCAACTAGACCAGAGCACTGAGTGCCACGTCCAGTCTCATCTGCAAAATGTTTATTGTGAAACCTCTAGTGAGGTCTTCAGCTGAGAGGAGGAAAAAGTATTTTGCATCTCCATTGGTACAGGTGTCGATAGAGGCCGACAGAGCTTTTGCCTTTTTCAGACAATCACACAGTTTCCTGACTCCCTGGCAGCTGAATGTCACAGATCTCCTTTCCTACATCCGTGCAGATGTCGCACACAGGTACCTATACATGTTTTCTCAAGCCTAGGAAGGGCCAAGATCTTGTCACCCTGTACATCCCAAGGCGAGTGTTCTGGTTAGTGAGTACAGCAAACCCCCCATCCTCCTTGCAATCAAAGAACCATTTTCCCAGGCCATTTCTCTAAGGGTTAGGAGTTTTTAAAACTGATGTCGTGCCACCAAACCTGCTTGGGATCTCTCCCATCTTTTTGACTGTCCTTGGATTTAAAAAGCACACACTCCCTTCCATCTTCCAACAGCAAAACCACAAAATGCTCCTGACCCACAGCGTAACCCTAAGGATGGGCACCCCCACCTCACCATTCTGACGGAGAGCTGTTGAGCACCCCCAACCCACCCATCGGATCTGAGTATAGCAGCACAGCCACGGCAATGCCGAGAGCGGGAACAGCAGCCCCGCTGGTGGGATTCGTGCAGCAGGAGACAAGCACAGAGGGACACATTTGGGCACACACAACCAACACTGAATTTCCTCAAAACCTGTTCCCCAAAACCATCTGCTCAGAACACTGTGCCAAACAACATACTTTGGTGCATTCAAAACAGCCAAATTCTTGGATACTTGCTATTTTCTTCCCCTCACTGTTGTTATTCCTTCAGAAATTCTACCCATAGCCAAGTTACTGGTTACTTCTTCAAGCATTTCCCTCCCTGGTACTACCAGCAAATTTACACAGTCAAGGAACTTTACAGCTTTCTAAAATTATCCAGGTGCTAATTACAGCCATGAAAGAAAAGCAAAAGGAAAAGAAGGGTCGGGCAGCCAGAGAGCTCTGCAGGTGGCACCAGGCAACATCACACTTGCTAAAACATGTCCTTTTGCACAGAGGAGGAAACAGGCCAATATTATGGCAAGTTGTGCCCTTCTCCCAGTGCTGACAATAATCACACATGGCACCAAGTAAGGCTCAAAGGGGGCATGTATCAGTCAAAGTGACTCACCACAAGATAAGCTGGGGGGGGGGGGGGGGGGGGGAATGGCAAAAGCACAGGCACCAGGACATTCTCTTGCTTCCAAGACAAGACCAATCATCCCTCTGGGAAAAGGGAAAGAGGCAAGGGTTCATCAAGCAATGCATAACTTAGCAAGTGAGTTTAACAAATACCATCAGGTTTTGTGCACAGAGGAAATAAAACTCACTGGTTTTAGTAGCTAAAATATCAGGGGAAATTACTGTCTGGTGACAGCAGTAAGCTTCCCACAGCAGTCTCAGGTACCTGCCTTTGGAGACCAGCCCCAAAGTAGAAACTCCTCTCGACTGCTCCTGAGAGAGGCAATTGGAACTTTAGGTGCTCAGGAAAGCGATTCCCTCCCCTAAGTCCTGGCTCACCTGCCTGAGCACCTACAGTGTTTATATTCCACCTCACTCTCTGCTTTGCACGTTTGTATCAATAAAAGAAACTTCCAAGGTCTTCCTCCAGTCCGAGCTGCATCTTCTCTGCACCCCCACACTCTCCCACCTGTTCACGTGTGCTGCTCCCCTCTCCTGCACTGCTTCCTGGAACAGGGCTCATCCCTTGGCACCTTCCTCGAGCGATAATCCAGGTATAGCAGATGCTTCCTCCAGCCCCTGCGATATGCTCTCACCATCACTGCTTGAGAGACTCCCTGAGATCGACTGCTCCCCTGCAGAAGCTCCCTATAAAAAGTGCCCCAGATAACCACCCAGCACGGCCCGCCCCTCGTTATCCTCACTGCCCACACCTAGGGCTGTCCCGCCTTTTTGTCATCCTCACTGGCCACACCTGGGGCTGACCCGCATGGGAGGGGAGAGAAGAGCGGGTGGAGTCACAGGCGGGCACGCGAGAGAGGGGCCGGCGCTCCGCTCCGGGCTTTGGTGTTATTTTGGGTTGGTTTTGGGTGCGGATTTGGGGGACTGCGCACACCCTCCCCTGGTCACAACCCTACCCCAGGTCGCTGCACCCTACTGCACTCCCCGCACCCCTTGCTCAGCTTCGCGGGGATCTGTGCCTCTTCTGAAGGTGGCAAATGTCTGCAAAGCCAGTCGGGAAGCCAGAGAGCTGCAGCCCCCGGGCCCCGCCGCGGCTTCCCCGCCGTCACCCGGCACCTCCTGCACGTCCCGCCCCGCAGCGCCGTTCCCGCTACCGCCCTCGAACACAAGGAACAAACCCCGTGCCCCCAGCACAGGCCGGTCCCTCCCCGGCAGCCTCGGCAGCGCCGGGAGCGGCCGCAGCCCCCAACGCCGGGCGGGGCCGCGCGGGGCGGGGGCGGGTCCCGCGGCTGCGACCCCGCGGGGAAGGGACGCCCGGGCCGGCCCCGTCCGGCCCCGCCGCTGGCCCTGCTCGGCCACCGCCCCTCGCCCACAGTTTTAACATTAGAGAGCCAAGATTTAATCCAGAGCGCCGCAAGCTCCCAAGTGCAGGGGATTTCCATAGACTTGTTATTTTTCTCTTTTTAATGACCGCGTTGCTAAAGTCAGGGAAATACAATCAGCATTCCCTAAACACCACCACTTCTACATCCACCTGTGATCAGGGGCCGATGGGCAGCAGCCTGCCCTGGACAGGCTGCACGGATGGTGTTAAGGCCACTATTCCCCAGGTTTGAATGACTCTGGCCATGATCCCCGGCCCGTGAACAGAAAGCCCAGAGCCAACGGGAACTCCAGCCAGCTGCAGGCAGATGTTACTCCGTCCCAGTTTGCCGGGGGTGGGGACAAAGGCGCCCTTCCCTGTTCGGAAGTGGAAGTCGTCCCCTGTGCAGAGCCCACTCTGATCCTCGGCCTCGTGGGAGCCAATTCTCTTGTCACAGCCCACTTCCTGCACAGAAGAAAGGGAAAGATTGCACATAAGGGAGACATTCTTCCCTGGGAGGGTGGGGAGGTGGCCTGGCACAGAGAAGCTGTGGCTGCCCCATCCCTGCAAGTGGCCAAGGCCAGGCTGGACGGTCTATTGGAAGGTGTCCCTGCCCGTGGCAGGGGGTAGAAGGAGATGATCCCTGAGATCCTTTCCAACCCAAACCACTCCAGGATCCCAGGATGATTCCATGCTCTCTCTCTGCATTTATTTGGCATCATTTCCTCTCAAAAACAACATCTCCAATTTAGTTGATTGCTAAAGCCATCATTTTAAAATCATCCCAGGAATCAAAAGGGACTGGAAAACATACAGAAATCATTCTTACACCCACCAAGTCATTATTAATTGGAACTCAATTCCCTCATCTCCGTCCTTGTTTTTCTTGGCTGGAAAACCTGATAATCCCCACTGGCTATTTTTAGGCTGGTTTTCTTCCACAGCTCCATTCTCCCATCTGAAATGTCCTGGCATATTCAGGGTTTATTTGGAGGGAAGCACCTCTGAGGTGTTTCCTCTCATGGCAATTCTGTGGGATGAAGAAGTAAAAAAAGCACGGCAAGAGCTCCTTCTACCCCCTTCCTTCCCAAACACCCTCCCAGTTTGTCCTTGGCAGCTCCATCCCCCCAGCACCCGCACCCAACACTTTGGCTCCGCTGGGAAAGGGACAGCAAGTGCAGAAGCAAGTTCAGTGCTGTGCAGGGGCTCCCTGGGGAACAGAACTTCAGTGCTTTAGTCCACGGCCTTTCCTGCTGCCCTCCCTCCTGGAGGCAGAGGATGAGCCGGCCATTGCTCTCTCCCTTGTTTCTCCCACACTCGCAGACCCAGGTCCTGCTCTTTTGGCCCCACTTTTCTTAGCAGACCCGGCATCATTTTCCAGAGTCCCCAGGAAACTTCTGCACTTGACCCATTGCTAAGTGCAGAGCACAGGACACACAGGGAAGGACAAATTTCTCAGCACTCACCACCTGGAATTTTCCTTCTCCGCAACATGCTCCCGTTCCCGCTGTCTCTGGAGGTGCCTGCACGAGTTCTCCTTGTCCCAGCTCTGCCAAACTGACACACGCACAGGAGAAATAACAGGTCTTGCTTGCACAATTCCCGACCCTAACCCTTGCCTGTCCTGCCCAGAGCTGAGGGAAATCTGAAGGAATATTAATAAACCACCTTTGTTAAGAGCAGTCATCAGCCCAGTCCTTCAGGCTTTGCAGGAGTTTGTAGGGAACAGACCCAAATTCCAGTCCTACCTCTAAATTTCTAACAGCTTTCCTCAGAGAGATTCTGGACAGTAACACATACAACAGAAAGAAAAGAACTGCACAAGGAGTAACAGAAGGTTTGCCACGAAGAACAGAAGTTCCTGTTCTCCCTCATCAGGCTGGGACTGTAGGACCCAGTCTTTGTCATCAAGAGACCAAAGCGTTGTCATTAAGACTTAAACCTCTCCCCCATGGGTGTTTCTCAGAGAACTGGGCCAGCACTGAGCTACTCCCATGTGCCTGCAGTGCTTTGGGGAGGGACAAGACAACCTCCCACTTCTGCTTGGAAGAGAATGAAAAGTCATTCCCCTTCTCTCTCTCTGACCCAACACCAAAGCTGTCGTGTAGGACAACACCGGACTATGCACGGAAGGCCTGATTCAACTGGGAAAGAAAAAAACCCTAAACAAAGAAACAAAACCACCCCAAATTTCAAGGTAAAAATATGCTGCTTCCTGAACAAGAGCACACAAAACACATTGAAGCCAAAGAGAAAATGACAAACCAGAAAAAAAAAAGAACCAAAGGAAATGCTCTGCCTGCCTTGATATGCTCTCTGCTTGATCATTCCAAAGGAAATTCTCCACAGATCAGAAGCAAGTACCAATCATTTGTCCTCTATGGAAAATTAACGACTTGGGTTTCTGTTGAGGGGCTGGACATATCCAATGAGGGTTCAGGGTCTGGTGGGTTGTTTATGGCAGATCCTGACCGGCCCAGGCCAAACCCAATCACCTCCACCACTGCTCCATCCCACATGGAGAATATTGATACTGTATAGAAATACTCCCCTTCCCTGCTACTCCATCCTTCCTTACACATCCATGGAGCAGGTTTTCTCCACCCTTTGTTCCCAGCAACAGCTCTCCAGACTGAATCCCAGCTCCCACAGACACAAACTAAACACACCTAAGGCGATGGTTCCATCAGCACCTGGAATTCCGAGCTCTCTGTTCCCTGGAATGCTCATCCCAACACTCAGAGCAATCTCACCTCAGCCCATAGGCTCTCTGTCCTCACAGGGAAACACAGCCTGCTCTGGCACTGCATTTCCTCTCATTCCTGGTCTCCTGCAAACCCCCAGGGAAATCCAATCCCTCAGACCCTGCATCCCTGGACACGAGGGGAACTAGAGTTTGACCCGGATCCCAGCGCCCTGGACAAGTGTGTTCCCAGGAGCACACACCTGTGGCTCCATCCAGCCCATCCACCCCTCCTTTCCCCCCAGGGAGTCCCAAACCCTCCCCCAGCTCCACAGCATCTGTCCCACGGTCCAGCCCAGCTCCAGGCTCTCCCCCAGCGCTGTGTCAGCTCCAGCCCTGGCAGAGCTGCAAACACCCCCCCAGGCTCAGCTCCCCGGGCTCCTGAACTCCCAAACCAAGGCTCAGGCTCACCAACGGGGACCCACCTGCCCCACTCAGCACAGCCCAACCCCACAGCTCAGGGATCCCACGCTCACCTGGCCCTTTGCCCCTTCCTCTCCACCCTTCCCAGCACGCAAGGACCAGCCTGCAGTGAGAAACAAAGCCAGTGCCCAGGGAGCAAATGCCAACAGCCAGGAGGAGAGAAATGTGTCCCTTTGACTTACCCCACCCCACGGGCAGCACCAGGTGCCCCCAGCACCGGTCAGTGGGGCTGGAGCTTGTTGCCTTTGGCTGCTCACACTCCAACACATAAGGGCATTGCTGGACCCAAGTCAATGATTTTCCCCGTCCTGAAAGAGAGAACAAGAGAATTAAGTGCACTGGGGAAGTCAAAAGCTCTTGGCTTTCACCCTTCTCTTCTGATTACTCACAACAGGCATTTCTTCCCTAAAACCCGCTCTTACTCCCCCCCCCCCACCACCACCCCCCGCCCCCGGGCGGTCCCCGCCCCTGCCCTGCCCGGCGACCCCGAGCGCTTCAGGCCCGGCCCGGCCAACGCCTCGCTCTGCGCGAGCACCGCTTCCCAGCCCGCCCCGACCTCCGAGCCCCGCCTCGCAGTCGCCGCCTGGCGGACACGGCCGGGAGCGGCACTGCAGCCGCGTCTCCCCCCGCCCCCCCCCCCGCGCAAGATCCACGGCGCCTTTCGCAAGTACGGGCCTTTCTTCCCTGAAACCTGCCCTTCCCTAGGAAAAGCTGAGCAATTCACAGAGTTGCTGTTTCTAGCGGCAGCGGCAGCGGCAGAACCAATTTACAGTCACCTTTGCCTCCTCCCCCCCCCGCGCAGGCACCGGCTTTGGGATTCCAAGACAAACCCCGAGAGGCCCAGAGAGCAGCAGCTCCTCAGCCCCACCACGGCCTCCCCCGGTGTCCCCCGGCCGGGAACCGAGCTACCCAGCCCCTGCTGTGCCGCACAGCACGTGGGGGGATGACTTTTGGCATCCCTCCCTGGCTGCTGCAGAGCAATGCAGGCATCGGGGCCAAGTCCTGCCTGGCCCCCGGGCACTGCAAGACAGTTCAGCCCCAGCAGTGGGCTTTTCTGCCTCTTGCTTCCTCTCTCATTTGGAACCAGACGGTGAGGAACAAGCCCCAAGCAGATGGCGCGGGGCCAGCCCCGGGCACAATCAGCACCGAGCAGCAAGGCCTGGGCTCGCAAGAGGCCCGGGCCTTCCTAGTCCAGGCTCTGGGCTTCCTTTGCTTTCTTCCGCTGCAATTCTCCTGCCCCGGCAAGTGTTAAAAGATAGACTGCCCGGTGAGACCTGCCCCAAAACAGCAATCAGTTCCAAGGCCAGAAAATCTCAGGGCCACACTCAGAAACCCTTCCATGAGGCCCCCAGAGAAGTCAAGGGGAGCTGGGATTCAATGGAGTCCCAGGGAACCAAGGGGAAGGTGGGAAAGGGGCAGAGAGCAAATCCCCCCAGCTGCTTCTCACTGCAGCCCCCGCGGCAAGTGCAGCTGCCCTGGGATTTCATGCCCTCTGTGTTTCTTCCATTGGGGAAAAGGACTGGGATGCACTGGGAGGGACTTGGGGCAGTGGGGAGGGACAGGGATGGGACTGGGGAGGCTGGAGAAGGACTGGAGGCACTTGGGGGATTTGAGCTGGGAGTGGGGTACGAGAAATAAAAAATCTGGTTTTATTATAAGTAAAATGAATTTAGTGGAAAACAGCGGGTGGTGGAGTTTTTCTTTTCTTTCATTTAATTCCAAAGTTTTTTTAGGCACCTTGTGGAGACTGTAAGGTAAAAGGCCCATCTGGGCCTGACGCCAGGAAAACGTTGCGGTGGGGATAGGGAAAATTCATCATCATGGCTAGGCTTCGCGAACGAAGATTTGGGAAGGGCTCTACCCACGTTTGTTGCAGGTGCGTTGGTGGCTAAAAAGGCCAATATGAGACAGACATGTCCGGTTGCAAAAGGCACAGCAGAAAGACTCCTTAGATGGTAAATTCTGCAAGGCACGATTCTTTCTGCATTGTCTTTTCTCCTCAAGGGTGATCCTGCTGCATTCTCAAAAGCATCTGCAGCGTTATAGATGGTGTGTCTCCAGACCTCCCGATTGGAGGCCAGAGTAGACCAGTTACGATGATCAATATGGCCAAGGCTGAGATGTTGTTTCAGGGAGTCCTTGTGTCTTCTCTTTGGGGCTCCTCTCTTGCGGCAGCCGGTGGCAAGTTCACCATAGAGCAAGATCTTAGGGAGGGGGTGGTCCTTCATCCTGGAGACGTGCCCTGCCCAGCACAGCTGTGTTCTCAGTAACATGGTCTCAATACTTGTGACTGCTGCTTGTTCTAGAACAGATGGATTGGTCACATCATCTGACCAGTGGATGTTTAGGATTGTTCAGAGGCAGCGTTGATGGAAGCGTTCGAGGAGTCGCAGGTGGTGGCGGTAGATGACCCATGATTCAGATCCATATGAGAGAGTAGACAGCACTGTGGCTCTGTAAACACTGACCTTCGTACTTTTCTTCAGGTGTTTATTTCGCCAAACTCTTTTATGAAGCTTTCCGAAGGCACTGTATGCCTTTGCTAACCTGTTGTCTGTCTCTCCGTCAACCTCACCATCCGAGGAGATGAGGCTGCCTAGGGAATTAAACTGCTGAACTGATTTGAGCTCTGATTGGCCAATGGTGATATGGCCGCCAGGCGGGCTCCCAGCCCCCGGCCAAGCCGGCCACGCCGCCAGGGGGCCACACCGGGTGGGCTCCCCGGTGGCCACCACGCCGGATAGGGAAAATTATAAAAACGGAAAATATACCCTGGCCACATGGCCGGCCTTTGTGTGCAGAAAGACCCTCCTGTACATGTACAGGGGGATACGTGTTACGACCTGCCCCAGGAAAAGAGGGGGGAGGGAGTAACCCAGGTTTCATCAATAATTCCTTTGGGGTGGATTAAAGCGAAACAACACTAAATAATCGGTGTATGAAAACATATATTGATAAGATTTATTTTAACAATTTTGAATCAATAGGTAAGTTAACATTTTCGGGTGCTGTAACCTTTCTGGGGAGGAGAAAAGTGTATAGGGGAGAGAAAGACAGGGTAAGAGTAAGGGAGAGCAAGAAAAAAAAAGAAGATGAGATAATCACCGCCCACTGGATCCAGCGATGTCTTGATCCGCAGGTGGTGGGGGGAGAAGGAAAAGCAAAAACCCCGCCAAACCCCCAAAGTCACCAGTCAAAATCCATATCCTTAGCACCTCCCCCAGGGCGGGGAGTTGTTTTCATAGGTTGGTGTCCCCCTTTTTGGCGCGGCACGGAGTTCATGTGGAGGGCGTGGTAAACTCAGCTCTTCCCGCCTTTTCGGGGCTTGACATCTTCTGCACTGGAGGAGGGGGGGGGATGGGCCCAGTTGCCCATCAGAAAGTCAAAAGCCTGTAGAAGTCTCTTAGAATGCATAAATCATTCACTGTTTCAGTCTCTGACAGTACGTCATCAATCAGTCAATCAGGAGGGAGGGTGACACCCCCTCCCGAATTCGAAAAATTACCTTTTAAGGTAAAATACCTGTCACCTGTTGAATATTTAACAGCTTATGTAACCAAAAGGGTACAAAAAGAATGCTGTTTTTCAAACCGCGTGTGCTTTCCAGGCCATGTGACTTGGGATTGCACCCAGCGCTGCAATATGAAGGATTTCTTGCTGCCATTTTCCTTGTCTTGCAGGTATTTTTTGCCGTTTCATAAATCGAAAGCAAGGATTTTTCCAACAGGGACACTGGGGTGCGACTGTGATTTCAGCTCAAGACCCACAAGCTTTATTTCACTGCCAGCTCTGCTCTCTCAGCAGCAGCTCTGCATCTTGCCATCACTGCCATGGGAAGCTGTTCCAGGTTCTCACTGCAGGATCTTCATCTTGGCTCCAGCTCTGGGACTTTCCAGCTCCAACCTCACACTCCCAATCCCAGTCCCCCAGTTACTCCTACAGCCCCACAACTCTTATCCCAACTCCAAAGTCACAATCCCTGCCCTATACTGATTTCAGCTCTTCCCACCCCGTCCATGTATCCGTCCTACAATCCCTATTCCACAGCTGCACAGGGATTTCAGTGATGGTGCCACAGGCCCTGTCTCACAGTGATTGCTGTGATTACTGCCCAAGTGTTACAGTCCCAAGCCCAGAACCCATCCCTATCCCAGCCCCTCAGTGATTTCAGCTCGAGACCCACAAGCTTTATTGCACTGCCAGCTCTGCTCTCTCAGCAGTAGCTCTGCATCTTGCCAGCGCCGCCACGGGAAGCTGCTCCAGGTTCTCACTGCAGGATCTTCAGCTTGGCTCCAGCTCTGGGACTTTCCAGCTCCAACCTCACACTACCAATCCCAGTCCCCCAGTTACTCCTACAGCCCCACAACTCTTATCCCAACTCCAAAGTCGCAATCCCTGCCCTATACTGATTTCAGCTCTTCCCACCCAGTCTATGTTCCCACCCATCAATTCCTATTCCACAGCTGCACAGGTGTGGAAAGTTTTACAGAAATGTGGTTGATAGAAAGAGGACATGAGAAAGATGCTATAGCTCTGGTCCCATGGTAAGGGAAAACTATTAGAAGGTCACTATATCTGTGAAACTGTGTACGTGACAGAAAAATAGAATAAAGCGGATGGGAAAGCAGAGCAAATAGCAAACAAGTAACCATAAGTATATGAAAGAAACAGCATTTGCGCAAATATAACTTAGGTAATTAGAAGCCAATGATGAGCTAGCGTTTGTAATATGTATGAGGCTAATTATTAACCTTTATAAGCACAGAGCCTGCAGCAATAAAGTTGGATAAGTTATGATCAATTTTGTGGTCTAAAAGTGTCTTTATCCCGTCGTCTACAACACACAGGGATTTCAGTGACGGTGCCACAGTCTCTATCTGAGCTTGAGACACTCTGCCAGCTCCAGAGACACAATTCCAGCCCAATACTGATTTCAGCCCCAGTCTCCCTGTCCACATTCCCACTTTACAATCCCTATGCCACCACACAGGGATTTCAGTGATGGTGCCACATTCCCTGTCTGTCCTACAGTGATTTCTGCTGCAGTGCCATGGTCCCTATCCCTGCTCCACAGTCCCTTTCCGAGCTCCACTCTCCCTATCCCATAGCCAGACCCACAACCTTTATTTCTCTGCCAGCTCTGCTCTGCCAGCTCCCAGTAAAGCTCCTGCACGTTCCAACCCTAGCATCTTTCTTTTGTTAAAGGTCTGAGTTTTCCACCCCAGCTCTCAAGCTCACATTCCATGCCAAGCCTGACTATTTTTATCCCAGCTCCATGTCTGTAGTACTTATGCTAGGTCCATGCTCCTTAACCCAGCCTCACTCATTTTGCCCACAGCCCTACTGACTTTATGTCTCCACCAGCTCTGCTGCCTGAGCTCCAGGTCCTCAGCTTTCTGCTGCCTCTGCCTAAAGCTGCTTCTGGGTATCTCTGCAGCCCGGGGCTGTTGACAAGGCCACAAATCAGCTTCAGTCATTCACTTAAATATCTCTAGGAGCTGTCCCACCCATCCCAATGGGAACAGTACTACAGCAACAAAACAGAGAATAAACAATCAAGTAGTCAAAGATGAAAATAAAAGTAAAATAAAGTGATAATAGAATGAAACACCTTTTATTACTTTTCTTCGTAACAATACTTTCAATAGGAGCCCCCCTGAGAGGCTGCATTCTAGTCCTTCTGGTTCGGGGGAGCACCCCTGAGCACAGGCTGCTTCCCCACTGGGCACCGACCAAAGCTGGCCGGCACAGCTGCCCGGGACACCGCCTGCCCAACGCCCTGCCTCGGCAGCTGTGAGGGACCGACCCCGGCCCCCCCTGGATCGGCAGTCGAGGGGGTGCTGCCCCATGGCTCCCCACCGCTCCCTGGAGCGGCAGCCGCGAGGGTCCCACCCTGGCTCACCGTCGCTCCTCCGCCCAGCGGCCGCGCCGATCCCGGGCCGGCTCCCGCAGCTCCAGCGCCGCACCCAGCCCCGCCGCCCAACTGCCCCGAGAGCCCGCCGCCCACGCTATTTGTAGCCCGCGGCCCGCACAGCCCCGCCCCCCTCGTGCCAGCCCAGCCAATCCCAGCGTCCGGCAGCGTCCGGCCCCGCCAATCCCCGCCTGCCCGTTCCCGCCCTGCCCGTCCCCAAGAACCCCGCTGTCCCCTCAGGCCCCGCTCCCAGGGGCTGCTCCGCTTCCGCCTGCTCCCCGCCTCCCTCCCCTTCTCCCGGGAGAACTCCGGGACGGGACGGGACCGCGGACCTCCCGCCCGCCCTTCCAACAGCGCCTGCGGGCGCCGCGGCAGCGCAGGCGCGGCTCCGCCGGATCCCGAAGCAAAGGCGCCGAGACCGGCGCCTGAGGGCAACGCGGGGGTCGAGGTGGAGAAGGGGGCAGCTCCGCGCCGCGGCTGAGCGGGCACAGCTTACGGGAAAGGGCGGGCTCATTGAAAGGGCGGGCTGCGATTGGACGGAGCGGAGAAAAGCGGGCTGGGAGTGGCGGGCCGGGATCGGACCTGCAGGTCGGGAGCCAGCCAGAACCTCCCGGAGAGAGCGGCCCCTGTGCCCAAGGCAGGCCAGGTGCCTGGACCGGCAGCCGCGGGAGTCCCGCCTCAGCTCACCGCCGATCCCGCTCCGGCTCCCGCAGCTGCAGCGCCGCTTCCACCTCCGCCGCCGAACTGCCCTAACGCGCCGCCCTCCCCCCCGGTATTTATAGCCCGCGGCCCGCACAGCCTCGCCCCCCCGTGCCAGCCCCGCCAATCCCCGCCCGCCCGTTCCCGAGAACCCCGCTGGCCCCGCAGGCCCCGCTCCTGGAGCCCCTCCCGCCCGCTCCCCGCCTCCCTCCCCTTCTCCTGGGAGACCTCCCGGACGAGACGTGACCGCGGAGCTCCCACCGCCCTTCCGTGGTCCCAGCAGCGCCTGAGGGGAACGGGGGGACGGTGCCGCTCGGAGGGGCCGCGCCGCGGCTGAGCGGGCAGAGCTTGCGGGACCGCTGCCGGATTGAAAAGGCGGGCTGTGATTGGACGGCTCGGAGAAAGGCGGGCCCGGATTGGCGGGGCTTGGAGCCCGCGGGGCCGCGGCCGCGGGTGGCGGGAGGTGCTCGGGTGGTCGGGCGGAGGGACGAAGGCCGTGTCGGAGGGGCCCTTCCCGCGGGGCCGTGGCCGTCCCGGGTCCCGCTCCCGGGACCCCGTCCCCTGCCCCGCCCCTTGGTCAGGCCGCACTCCCGGGGGCCCGGCCCCAAGGCCCCTGCAGAGCCCCTCGGGGAGCCCCGCACCGGCACACGGGGCGGTTCCGGGTCGCGAAGGCGGACTGTGCGGCGTGGGGGACCGGGGAGCAGCGGCGACGTGGTGGGCCGGAAGTTGGCGGCGGGGAGCGGGGAGGACGCAGAGCAGCAGTGCGTCTCTGACCGCCTCTCCCCCCGCAGCAGTTTTGCTTCTGCGGGGACTCAGACTGCCCCGACTGGGTGCTGGCTGAGATCAGCTCCCTGGCCGAAATCTTTTAAGTGCCGTCCCCACCGCCTGTCCCCCTGCCCAGGCCCGCTGCCCACCCTCCTTCTCCCGCGCAGTCCCCGCTGATGCTGAAGTTGATCTGCGCCCAGGTTCTGCGAACCAATCTCTGGCACGCCTCTCTGCAATCCCTGCAGTTGCTATCCCAGCCCTACAGTGATTTCAGCTCCAGCTCCACGTCTTCCCACCACCAAGTGAAGTTGCTCCTTGATCAGAGCAGGATGTTTACTTCGGGTCCAGCTCTAGACACTATATTCCAGCTTCAGCCCCAGAGTCGCTATCCCAGCATATGGGGATAGGGCTGGAGGTGGAATCACTGAGGAGCTGGCACAGTGGTTCTCCAGGTGTAGGAGTCAGCACTTGGGATTCACTGAGTCCTCTTTTCTTGGCAGCAGCCATCGGAGAAGACAGAAGAGGCATCGTGTAGGACAGTGAGGCCAGAGTGAATGAACAGAGGAGTGGCCTCAGGCTGGAGAGGGGCCAGAGAAACGCAGTGTGGGCAAAGGGACCTCCCTGTTTTCACCAGGTAACCTGCAGGGTTGTAATATACTTAAGATGCATTTGCTGTGCATCCATATGGATAGGCTGCATCATCATGGCTAGGCTTTGCGAACGGAGATTAAGGAAGGCTCTATCCACATTTATTACAGGCACGCTGGTGGCTCATGAGGCCAATATGAGATAGACATAACCGATTGCAGGATAGGCTGCAAGCCCGGGGAAAAAGTCTCACCTTAGAATGGTGACATGAAATCTCCTTCTGTTAACCATCATGCATTTCTTAGTACGTAAAATCTATTTAATGAAAAGCAAAACATCAAACAGTGGATCGATCAACTTGTGCCCTGGCTGCAGCAGATGCCTGACTGCACTCAGCAAACAGAAGGTGCCTCTGGGGACCAGTGAGTACTCTGGATGCTAATGCTGTCAGAGCTCAAAATCTAAGCTCTCAACAGAGAGATCTGAATAATTTGCAGTTAAAGAAACTGCTTTCTGGTTCCTTCAGCTTCAGGAAGCCACAGTGGCAGATGGCCAAATGTGCAGTCAGTTGGCTGCAAGACCTTTAACTCATCGGACCAAAAGTTACTGCAGAAAGAAAAATAAAAATCTATCAGAGGAAGTTGTTCACGGATAAAAGTCTTCATGCATGGTTCCGCGCAAGTTTCTTTATGCCGTTCCTTCAGTTTTAGCTCCATTACAAGTGATTCCAAACCTTCTGTTTCTGAAGGTCTCATTCATTCAGGTTGCTTCTCCTCTGGCATTTCATCCACATGTCCTGCATAAAGTTTCTGAAGGCTGGTTCTTCATGACTCTCCTCAGTCACTGGGGGAAGAAGTGACACTCCGGGGCTATTTCAGTACTTGTTCTACTTGTGTTACTGAAAAAAAAGCTAGAATCAGGATAGCCAAAGCAACATAGAAAGTCTATTCCATCTTCAACTACATTACGGGGCAAAGGAAATAAGTGATCCTACCCATCAGTGGAACAGGGAAAGAATGAAGATTGAGTCTGTGAGCTATGTAAGAGAAAAATCACACTGTAACAACTTAGAAGATTGCTCCAAGACCACAGTCACAGGAAAAGGGAAGAGAGCCAGGGGCAGAAACTGTAAGGCCAAAAAGATGATGGACACATCTGTGCATAATCAGGTTCAGAAGTCACTGCATTCTCTGGTTTATGTGTGTTATACACCTATTAATTACTTGAATAGAAAATTTAAAATTCAACTTTCACAAAGGTTACAGAGTGATATCCCTAGAGTGACCATTGCAGCTGAGCTTCTGCTACAGATTCTGACACGTCAGGTGACTGAATGTTTGCTTGTTTTCTAGGCTCTCCTTACAGTCCATCCAGGTCATGAAATACAGAGGGGATTTCTTGACTAGACAGGCAACTTTTAGACCTCATTCCCTTACCTTCATGGTCAATGTCATCAGTGTTACCCTCCCTCTCTTCTTGCTCTTCATCAAGAGTTCCTCATTGTTAGTATTAGCTCAGAGGGACCCATTGCAGAAGCATCAGGTCCTTGAAGGGAACAGAAACGGCTGTACACAAACCAGCTTGCTAAAGGTAAGGTTTCTATCTGCACAGAAACCCAGCAATGAACACCTGCTCTAAGGGGACAGAAAGCTGCTTGTGGATCCCAGACACAGGACAGACTCCATCAGCACCTACTCGGCTCATATAAGGAACAGTGCAGCCAACAGCAGAGCTTTCTCATATTCTGATCTGACTGTTTCACCTTTTCTAAAGTATTTCATTATTTCTAGTAGGTCCACTGCTTTAGCTACACAGTGGGGTTTCTTCCAAACCTGTGACTGACACAAGAAGAGCTAAGTGTGACCAATCCCACAGGAACTGAAGCCCCACTCCTCTAACATGGAGCTGCTTTCACACTTCTTGTGAGGACAAAGAAGCACGGTATTACTTCACAAGGCAAACTCTTCAGAAAACTTCTGCAGTAACCTTTCTCTTCCTGGGGAGGTACCTGTGTGTGCTGCCCTGCACACACACACTGCCCATGTCCTTCCACAAGTGTTCCAGCTGCTCTCTCTTTTGTTTATTTTCAGCTTCCTCCTGTAGATAAAGATTTACATGTGGATTCTGAGAACATTTAAAACATCAGAAGAGAAACCTCACTCAAGCCCAGCAGTCTGTCCCCCAGTCGGAGAGCAGAAGTCACTCTCTGCAGGTCTTACATTTCAACCAAGGTTATTCAGAACTTCTGACTAAGCATGGAAAGCAACCTCCAGTATGGTGGGATTCTAGGACGTTTTCAGCAGCACCGGGAAGCCAAACTCTGTGTAGCTGTGCCTGCAGAGAACTGTCGTTTGGACAGCCAGAACTCAAGGTGAGCAGAGCTACTGATTTTGCACTGCAATTCAGTCTTTCTTACTGTCTAAGTCAAACTAGTACTCTTCACTTTCCCCCTTACATCTCTCACACTTTTCCCCTCACATTTTCTAGACTTTTTCTCCCCTCACTTTTCTCCTACTTTCCCTCTCATGTTCTTCACACTTTTCCCCTCACGTTTCTCAAGACTTTCCCCCTCTCGTTTTAGCACTTTCCCTTTCATGTTTCCTGCCCTTTTTCTCTCCTCAGGTTTTCTGTCCTTTTCCCTCTGATGTTGCCCACCATTTCCCCTCATGTTTCTTTCACTTTCCCCCTCTTTTTTTCACTCATGTTTCCCACCCTTTCCCCCTCATGTTTCCCAAACTTTCCCCTTTGTGTTTCTCATAATTTCCCCCTCACATTTCTCATGCTTTTTTCTGCTTGTTTCCCACCCTTTTCCTGTCCCATTCCCTGGCCTTTTTCCCATGCGTGTTCCCCATTTTCCCCCTTCATGTTTCTCACACTTTCTCCCTCACACTTCCTGCCCTTTTCCTCATCACATTTCTTGCCTTTTTCCCCCTCGTGTTTCCCACCTTTTCCCCTCACATTTCCTGGCTTTTTCTCTCCCCCCATGTTTCTTATGCTTTCCTCTCACGTTTCCTGCCCTTTTCTCCCCTCACATTTCCCTCACGTTTTTTCACTCATGTCTCCTGCCCTTTTCCTCTCACATTTCCTTCATTTTTAAATTAACTGACACACGAGGTTACAGACTGGCTTGTGGGTTTTGTGTGTACAGAGCAAAGCTGCAATACTGCATAATGAGCCTGTTGTCTGTTAATGGCCATCTACACAGAGGGACAGAGGGGATGACAGTGACCTCTCCGCCTGTCCTGTGCTGCTCCGGGCCAGAGCCATGCCTCGCCGTGGCCAGGTGCGCCCACGAGCAGGCCGCGCAGGGTGCCGCGGGTGGCCGGGCCTGGGACGGGAGGGGCCGCGGAGCGCGCTGGGAGGCTTCGTCTCCCGGGGCCCGCAGTCCCGGCTGCCATCTTGTGCGTGGCGACAGCCCCAGCAATGCGGGTCCCATTGCAGTCTCAGGTGGCTGCAGGCGTGGATGCGCTTCCTGAAAGGTACGGGTGCTGTTTCCCGTCTCTGCAGGGACCGTTCGCGGCCGAGGCCGCCCACCTTTGCTGCGAGCCGGGAGTTGACACCCACCCACCGTGGCGGCATCCGCTCGCTCTAGCCCTCCCTCCTGGCACGCCCCTCCCATCCCTGCCCGTTCCGGTCCGGCAGCGTGAGGTCATTGGCCCCTCGGGCCCGGCAGCCGGAAGCGGGAGATTTGAACGGTAACGGGCTCCCGAGGCGACTGCGCTGCGGGGTCGCTGCTCCCAGCGGGGTTGAACTTGGGAGTCTCTTGGTGGCACCGCCCCGGGGACCAGGACTCGCTCGCGCCTGTCACCGGGTAGCCCTTACGGAGTCCGCCTCGAACTTGCCTGTGAGAGCAGCCGCCCTCCCCGGGGCCGCAGCCGAGCCGCTTCCCGTGCCCGAAAGCGTGAGCGCGGGCTACGATCTCTCCTCTCAGGAGCTGAGAAGAGCTGCCTGGCCCCTGCGGGTCGCAGAATGGCCGGAGGTGACTATGCGGAAGTTCTCAAGTACTATGAATTACACGGAACAGTCGGCACAGGTGGGCTTAGTCTGGGAATGCAAACAGGTGTATGTGACGTGTTCGCCCGCCTGAGCGTTTATCTGAGCAGAGATTAACTGTTACTGCGGAGGCTGTGGATCATATTTCCAAGGTGTATTTTGCGAGGCAGAAGTGTGGAAATGTAGCTGGAAGGTAGTGGAGTGATCACTTTTTCCCCTAACAAAGGTGCTGCATGCTGTGCATATAGGACGTGTTCCAGGGCGATTGAGGTCACAGGTGAGAAAGCTTGTTGCCATGCAGAGCTTTACACATCTCTGTTTCAAATTCTAGGTGGGTTTGCAAAGGTAAAACTTGCGCGGCATCGTCTCACTGGTGAAAAAGTTGCGATAAAAATCATGGACAAACTTGCTCTACAGGTAAGTCAAAAGATACTTCTAAGTCGGTAACGTGCTGTTCCTGTGGAGTTCTTGGGAACACAGGTGCAACTGTCTCTGTGGGCTGGTGGTGGATGCTGTGGGCTTGAAAGAATGTTAACAGAGCACCACAAAATTCTGTGCCCTCATATGGAAAGGGCAACATTCTCTGGCTGTAAAACTGAGGGAGTTATAGATTTAAATAATGAATGACAGAATAAATTACAGTAATTCAGACACAGTGCTGATGAGAATAGTAGCAATTGTACATCTGTCACTTGGGGCTTTGCTGACTAGTGTGTGAGCAGTGACAGAGCTGGAGCTGCTTGAGTTTGAGCAGTTGGACTGTGTGCTGTGACATTTAATGTTGTGCAGTAGTCTACTTACTGTGATGTACAGGCTGTCAAACTAGTTGGCAATTTCATAGCTTGCTGTTGCGTTCTCTTAGGATGATTTGCCTCGTGTTAAATTAGAAATTGATGCCATGAAGGACTTGAGTCACCAGCACATTTGCCGGTTGTATCATGTGATTGAAACACCTAAGAAAATATTCATGGTTTTAGAGGTAAGAAACCGTTTCTGCTATGACAAAGGTCCCTGGGTTTAGCTATAGCAGCAGATGGTAACTAAGTCCAAATGAAACAATTCTTAGAAAGTCATCTCAATGGCAAGTGTGTCCAAGGTGCCATAGTTTAAAAATAAAGCTGGCAATATGTTCTGTCCTAACTAACTTTAATTCCCATCTCATGCTCCAAAAACTAGCACCAGCGGGATACACAGGACCCCAGAACTCCCACAGAGTTGTCACCTCCTGGGCAGTTTCTGTTGCCTGTGATGTTAAAGTGACATGTCTATAGCAACACGTTGGGCAACAGTCGGGCTCCTGGGCTTGTTGGGTCTGTTGCAGGCTGGCCTGGGACACACTTGGATGCTGCTGGGATAAAGCAGAGGGAAAGGATGAGTGCTTTCGTTCTCATTTAGATTTCATGACTGTATTCCAGATGTTTTCTTTCTCCTACCTTTGTGCAGTACTGTCCTGGAGGAGAGTTGTTTGATTACATAATTTCTAAGGACCGCCTTTCCGAGGAGGAAGCTCGTGTATTTTTTCGGCAGGTTGTTTCAGCAATTGCTTATGTGCACAGTCAAGGATACGCCCACAGGGATCTCAAACCAGTAAGTCTGAACAGTAGTCAAATTTGCACAAATAATAATGAAGACCCAGTTTTATTTCTCAATATGGAGCAGGTTTATCTAACATCTTCTCTAACGTTTGCTGAAAGAGCATTATTTCTACTTGATGCATTGTTCCTCAGCTGAGCTGGATGTGTCTGTATCTGAGGAAGGAACTTCCTCTGAAAGAGAAGCAGAACAGTGCACTCAGTTGAGACTGGAGCAGACACAGATATGATTTTGGTGCTTAGGCATTCCTTCTATCCTCTTTATTTCAGCTTGTACCCAGAGAGAGTTGTTATGCTTCCTCTCTGTTGTGCAAACTGTCGTGCCCAAAAGAGAATGGTGACCCCCACAGCTTAAACGAGTGGAGACTCGACAGGGCGCAGGGGGAGGGACATGCCACAGGACCTGTGGCTTTGCTGTCACTGCAGGGTTTAAGTGTGGGTTTAGGGAATGGAAGCCTTGAGACCATTTCTCTTTGAAGGGGTTAGAAGTTTGCATGTTTAGAGACGCTGGCAACCCTGAGAAAAGCAAATTCTTACTGTACAAGCATTTTACTAGGTAGCTCATAAAATCATTGTCTCCAAAGAACTTCTCTCCAAGGAAAACCTTCATTGCATCTCTTGGAAGGAGTTGTCTCCTAGCTGACAGGAGTGCTGACAGATTTATAGGATCATGTCATACCTTGGGTGGGAAGTGACTTCTAGTGGCTTCTGTTTGAATTTGTTGCTCAAAACAGCATCAGACTGAGCTTCTTGGGGCTTTATCCAGTCACATCTTGGACCTCTCCCAAGGATGAGGTACAATGTCTCTGCTTTCTTCCTTACGAAGAGAAAGGGTTTTCCTTAGTCCCAGTCATCATCCCACCACATGCTGCTGTGGAGGGGCTGACTCTGTCTTCAGGCCCCCCCTTGAAGGAATTAAAAGGCTGCTATGAGACCTCCACTGACACTTTCTCACCCGCAGAGTGTCTCTCCCTCAGGCTCTCCTCACTGAAAAAGTGCTCCAGCATCCTTGGCAGGCTTGTGCCTAACCATGGAGCTTACCTTAGTTTGATGTCTTTCCTGTGCTGGGGGGGGTGGGCAGAAACTCGATGGGCTGCTGAACAGAGGGTGAGTCAGTTCCCCTACTCTGCCAGCTCTGCTCCTTTTCATACCACCTGGGATATTGCTGGCTGCCTTTTCTGCCACGACAGGCTTCTGCCTCACACTCAACTTCCTGTCTAGCAAACTTCCAGGCCCTTCTCAGCACGTAGGAGCTCATATTCCCTGTTCGGAATACAGGACATAATCATTAACAACTGGTCAAAATCTCCAGAGGAGAGCTCTAGGTAAATTCTAGCTGCTAATGGCAAGAAGAAATAATGAGAAAGGAAATGTTGTTTCTGGAATGACGGGTTACAGAAGAATTCATTACTGCTTTCTCTTTTACTAGGAAAATTTGCTGATTGATGAGGAACATAACCTGAAGCTGATAGACTTTGGACTTTGTGCAAAGCCAAAGGTAAGAGTGTCAGTTGCTCTCACAGAGCAGAGCTAAATCAGCTACAGCGCACACATAAGAATTGCAGATGTAACTTCAACGTGCAGTGCAGAGCCTTGCATTGAATTCAAGCTGTTTGTCTAGTTGTTGTCCCATTGCTGGTTTCTTGGTGGAGCCTTAACAGTGTGAGAAAGAAGTAACCTGCATGTTCTAAGCAGAATTTCAGATCACTTTCTCGTCTTATACTTCATCTTTTATCCCAATCTAAGGCAGAGATCACCTTGTGTGTGTAGAGTACCTGTACTGTAAGAGTTATGTTGGTGTGCATTTTTCCCCAATAAATTTCGGTGGCGTGTGTCTTTTTCCATAAGATTTGTCTGTGTGTGGAGATTGTGGATCAAATCAAATAGATTCCCCTTACATTTACAAAGCATCTGGATCCATATGCTTGTACAGAGTTGTTTTCCAAGTTTAAAGTTGATTTCTAGACTGCTGCTCTGTCAGCTTCACCTGTGAGGTAGGTGCTTGTAAGAAACAATTTAATGGGAAGAAAGTCTTGCCTGACCCAAAGTCCTCGGATTGTTTTAGCTGACTCAAGTTAGAGCACCTTGCAACCACTGTCTTGATGGTACAATGTCATCTTACTCTGATCTGCTTAGAACAAAGCCCAGGCAGAGTATTTACATGGTTTTAATAAGGGAGCATTTTTTTGTGGTTCTTTATGAAGTTATTGCTTTAAATATTGGTATAAATATCCAACCAGCCTCATGCCCAGTAGCTCTTGGGTCACTGCTTCCCAAGTTCCATCTCTTCTCTTTGTGGTCATGAAAGGAAGTATTCCTATCGGAGGAGGAGCTGCAGAAAAGACTAGTGGGATAACAGGTGAATGAGCAGTTTGGGATCTGAATGTTTGCAGGACACTCATGGCCGTGGACAGTTTTTGCCTCGTGAACCCATATATTATACCAAAGCAAAATATAAGGTGGATGTCGATAGACAACAGAGGAAAATGAAGCCTCTGAGACCTCTTATGTTGTTGCTAGAAGACACCATCTGTGTTAGAGCCAATGCTTCTGTGTCATTGATTTCTTGTCTTGTTCTAGGGTGGCCTTGATTACCATCTGAACACATGCTGTGGAAGCCCAGCTTATGCAGCACCAGAGCTGATTCAGGGCAAAGCATACATTGGCTCAGAGGTATGTAGCACAACTGTGGATTAGGGTGGTTTTTTTCCTGCCTCCTTTGTATTTAAAGGTGGTGAGGTTGAGATACATTCCCTTGATGTCTCTCTTCAATGCCACTAGATAATGTTGCCTCAGTGGCTCTCAGAAGCTGTATGACTGACAGCAGTCACAGCCTGGAATAGCATATCATGCTCTTAGCCAGCTGGCTTGTTCATGTCTGACTAATCCTTCACTGTCTCCAGGTGTTACTCTGTGTTTTAGTGCCCTACAAAAAGTAACTTATACTCCTTCCGTCTACATTATTTCAAGCAGCAATTTGTTAATTATTCAACTCTTGTTGTGAAATTTTTATGCAGTCTCAGTGTCTTGTGTACTTTACCTTTAAATTTGTGTATGAAAACTTGCTCTTTGTACTGTGCAGTGTAGTAAAATTAGAGAGAAGAAAAACTGTGCAATTTATCCAGCTTTGATTCCATGTCTGGAACATTAGGGCCTGCTACTTGCCTTTGTAAATCCATCCAAAATGCTGTAATTGCAATTCACTCAAACTTAGCTGGCTCTACTGTTGGGTGGAGTCAGTCTTTTTTCCTTTACTGCCCTTTGCACCACTGTCCCTGTCCTCTAACTCTTGTTTTCTTTTTTTGTTTTGTTTTCCATGAAGTCAGTGCTTCTCAAAACCTCCTTTTGCTTTATGATTGAAGTGTGAATTACAGTATGAGGCACATGGACTTTGTCATGACTGTATAGAAAAAACAGAGGGGCTTTAAAGCTGATTGTAACTGTGCTGATAGGTATTGTAATCGGTAATACATTTCAGTACAAAATCCCTTCCAATGAGTTTGATTTCATTTTTGCTTGAGACATCCTCCTGGGCTGAAGGTAATGCAGCAATTTGGTGACCTAAGGAGAGGATAATAGTTTTACCAGTGCTCCAGCTTGAGTGAATTGAAAACTGAATTCAGGTTGTGTGCTTTCACTTGGAATGTAAAGACTTAGGGAGCCTACTTTTAGTGAGTTGCATGTGCCAAAGAGAGACAGTGTTAGCTGTGTCTGAGCCATTTTAGACAGATCAGGTTTGTGAACTCTCACTCTTTTATTTTTTAGGCAGATATTTGGAGTATGGGAGTACTGTTGTATGCTCTGCTGTGTGGTTTTCTCCCCTTTGATGATGACAATGTCATGGCTGTCTACAGGAAGATACTGGTAGGTATTGATGGTGCTAGAATACGTGAGGAACAGGCATCTCTAAGCATTATGAGAGGGTTTTGCTTTCTGATGACAGAACTTGTTGAGCTGTGCTTTGGGCAAAAGGCTTATTTGTGGAATTTTGTTATGCTTTGTTACTTTTCTGATCAATATTTTGTTTTGGATTTGTTTCTGTCTTCCATCAGCCTTTGCAGGACTCTAGGCCGGTCCTGTGATACGGTAGAAAACTGAGCTTCAGTAGAAGCATTTTCTTGCTAGTGGCCCAGATTTTTGCGTCTGAGTCTTTATCTATCTTCTCCTTGTATTTTATGGTTTACCAAAAATATTGTTCTTAAATGTCAGCTATTCTCATATCTAGGAAAAGCAGGATTCTGCATCTGCTCTTACACCTTCCTCCTCCTAAATGAGTTGAATAAATAGTAAGTTATATAATTAAGCCATTGGTTCTGTTTCCCTGTAAACTCCTCTTGATGTGGCTAAACAGATGCTGTTTTTTATCACACATGCACCTCTGCCAGCCACTTCTGAGCTGCCATAAAATCTGTGTTGATAAAGCTTACACTAAGTGAGTGGGATGAGGAACAGCAGTGTTCAGTATGGGCTTTGGGTTCATCTATCTCGTTCTCCTTCTCTTGTCCGGAGTCTAGTATGTTTAAACCCCCCTAGGAAAACTCCTTGAGGTGTTCAAGGGCTACTTTGGCAGGAGGCAGCTGACACTGCTCTGCACAGGAAGTCTTTTTAGCGTGCTAACAGTCTGGTCTCCATGAAGCACCAGACTAGTTCATCAAAGAGTGTGGCTTTTTATTCTGGAATTGGAGCAGACTTAAATACCTGGATAGAAGATCCCTAGGAAGCTTGGTTTGAGTGGTTGCAGAGAACTTTAAAAAATAAGGGAAAAAGAAGAAAGCAAAGGCTTCAAAGAGGTTGTGTAAAGGTGTTGATGTTTAGATGAGGTGCCATTAAAATTACATGACTTCCATACTCACAATTTGCTGATGACACCAAACTGGGAGGGAGTGTCGACCTGCTGGAAGGCAGGAGGGCTCTGCAGAGGGATCTGGATAGACTTGAGAGATGGGCTGATTCCAATGGGATGAAGTTCAATAAAGCCAAGTGCAGGGTCCTGCACTTTGGCCACAACAACCCCCTGCAGCGCTACAGGCTGGGCACAGAGTGGCTGGAAAGCAGCCAGGCAGAAAGGGACCTGGGGGTACTAATGGACAGGAAGCTCAACATGAGCCAACAGTGTGCCCAGGTGGCCAAGAAGGCCAATGGGATCTTGTCCTGTATCAAAAATAGCGTGGCCAGCAGGAGCAGGGAAGCGATCCTTCCCCTGTACTCTGCGTTGGTGAGGCCACACCTTGAGTATTGTGTTCAGTTCTGGGCCCCTCAGTTCAGAAAGGATATTGAGGTGCTGGAGCGGGTCCAGAGAAGAGCAACAAGGCTGGTGAAGGGACTGGAGCATAAGTCCTATGGGGAGCGGCTGAGGGAGCTGGGGTTGTTTAGCCTGGAGAAGAGGAGGCTCAGAGGTGACCTCATCACCGTCTATAACTACCTGAAGGGAAGTTCTAGCCAGGTGGGGGTTGGTCTCTTCTCTCGGGCACTCAGCAATAGGACAAGGGGGCACGGGCTTAAGCTCCGCCAGGGGAAATTTAAGTTGGATATCAGGAGAAAATTCTTTACAGAGAGAGTAATCAGGCATTGGAATGGGCTGCCCAGAGAGGTGGTGGATTCACCGTCCCTGGAGATTTTTAAGCGCAGATTGGACGTGGCACTGAGTGCCATGATCTAGTAAATGGACTGGATTTGGACCAAGGGTTGGACTCGATGCTCTCGGAGGTCTTTTCCAACCCAATCGATTCTATGATTCTATGATTCTATAGTCATAGAATATCTTGAGTTGGAAGGGAGCTATGAAGTCCAACTCCCTGCTTCTTGCAGGACTACCTAAAACTAAACCACATGAGTGTTGAGGAGTGTTGACCAAATAATGCTAGTGCTGAAGTGTGCTGAGACAACCAATGAGGTTTTAAAGTTTAGTCTGGAAGTGGTCAAAACCCAATCGTGTCACAGGTGTTAAGATGCAGTCTTACTATATCCACTCCAAATTTGTTTTAATTTCATGTGGCTATGAACTGGAAATTGCTTGAAATGAGAATACTCACCCACTGTTCTGGAATTTAATTTCACACATTACAAATCCTGAAATTTATTGTAATCTCAATTTGGACCAGTTGCTCCAAGTCAAATCTGCTGTTTGAATCTAATTAGAATCGTATGACTTACATACAATGTTTCTTTCCTCAGAATGTTCCACCTCTCTTCATTTGGGAATACTAGAATGAATGTCTTTTGAATGAAAAATCAAGTTGTGGTGTAAAAAAACCCTTATATCTGGTGTGATCTTATGCACCTGGTAGATATCGCAACCTATCCGGCATTGCCCATAGCCCAGTAGATGAGAATTGTTTGTTACATCATTTTCTGTAGCAATATATTAAAAGCGAAATGTAGATTACATACATTACTTAGTTTCAGAGTAAAACTGCATTGTGAAACACCCAACGAAGTATTCACAAATAACCTTTTACTAAGGTCTGTAAAGAGGTAAGCTAAATTCTTTAACCGTGATGTCAAAGCAGTACATACTCTGCTTAGAAATGCAGGCTGCATATAATGCAAATGTTTTTTCATTGAGGAATTTATCTGTAGAAAGAAAACTGCCATGACAAAATGATAAGTACATTATTTGACAATGACTGTTTATTAATTTTATTTTTTTTTGGCAATTTTCATTGCGAAGTAAATGATCCTTGATGGTGAATTTGGTTTGGTTTTTAGCCACTGTTGTACCTCACCTCTGAAAGCTGTTTTCAATTTTCTTCTAATTGAGAATTAAAGAAAACCAACAGTAAATCATTTGATTGAAAAAAACTTACCTCTTAGACCTGTAACCTTTCTCCTGTCTGCAGTATAAGATTGAGCATTAGATTTAACCTGTTCAAAAAAAGAATATCTTAATACTGAGGATGGTGTACTTTTAGTGTCTGAAAAGTATTGCTTTCAGTGAATCTTCACATTTCTGAGCGCTAATATCAGTCATTCATACTCCAGCATGTTTGCACTTCTAGAACTTCAGTATTGACTTGATACAATGGATAAAAGAGCAGGTTAGCTGCAAAAGTGGGCAGAGATGGAAGTTTCAAACAAGCTGAATGGGTTGAAACTACAGCTGGTGATTCAAACATGGTATTTTCCTTACTGATGCAGCTGGGTTTTAGTACTACCTTGATGTTTATTCAAGTCATTCTTAAAGCTAACATGTTCCTGCTATTCTTTTTTTTCTGTGTGCAGATGCTACTATTGTCCAAGTACTTTAGTAGTTCCTTCTGAGATTCAAGGTTAGTTCTAAATCCTCTTCTTTTCTGCAGAGAGGAAAATACAGTATTCCAAAGTGGCTCTCTCCTAGTAGTACACTGCTCCTTGACCAAATGCTGCAGGTAAAGGTATTGTTTCTGTTGCACAGGTCTATAAAGTACTGTTACATAGGTCAAAACATTACATCACTGAAACATTTAAAAAGAATTCAGTGTTTGAAAAAGGAATTTAATTCTTATACACTTTTGAAGAAATTATTACCGTTGCCTTTGGCTCAAAAATATTTGAGAATGGAAATAATTAAACAAAGTTTAAATGATTTAACAGAGTCTTTGAACAGCTTGCTTCCGGTTGTTCTTAATGTACTATAAAAACAAGAGCTCTTTTGTAAATGAAGGTAAACTTACTAAATATGTATTTGGGCTACGCCTAGGGAATGTAGTCAGTGCTGTATATCCCTGGGACATCTATTGTAACTTGACAGTTTCTGTAACTGTCCTTCACAGCTCACATCTTTGAGTGTGAGCTTCCTTTTGATGAAATTCTGAAACAGTATTGGTTTCCATTTTTACCCCTAGCCACCCATTCTGTGTAGAAGACGAATTATTTTTTCACTTCTCCACAGCTTAATTATCACTTTGATTTTTATTGCCCACCAGGTTGACCCAAAGAAGAGGATTACAGTCAAACACCTGTTAAGTCACCCTTGGCTTATGCAAGGCTACTCTGATGCTGTTCAGTGGCAAAGTAAATACCCAGTAAGTACTCTGGTCAGATGAATATTGAACTGTTTAGTGTAATCTTTACTGGCTTATTACCATCCTTACAGTATGGGGGTGTGAAGGCATTTCTTCAAAGATGAACTTTGAGTTGGCCATGGTTCCTTTCTGATTCTTTAACTGTCAAAATATTATTATTTGCTCTTGATTTCTCTTGTGGAGAAAATTCAAATGTGTTTTCATCATATTCTGCAGCTGAATCTGCAAAATAACTGAATTCTCATCAAAATGTGAAGTATTTCTTCATATGAATGACCAATTCCTTCTCCAGGCTGCTTGATACTTTGTTTAAGGTGTAAAACACAAATATTCTGGAGAGCATGCTAAGACATGATTATGGTCTATCTTGTATGTAGTCCTCACTGAAAATATGAATAAAAAATTCAATCTCATTGAAAGAATGTTCGTGCTGTCTCTCTGTCGCTTGTTTTACTTGTGTGAGAGATGAAGGCAGAGGAAAAAAAACAGAATAATCTGGTTGTCAGCAGAAGGTGCTGAGAAGTTCCTGTATGTTGTCACCAGATGCCACTGTTTCTCTACATAAAGAAGAGCTTGACTGTGCTCGCAGTGTCAGTGCTACTAGCTGGCTCTGGAAAAGATATGCATGTCTAGTGGCTTTGGATATTTATGGACAGATGAAAGAACAGCCTCTTATCTAGTAAAAATCTCACCTCCTGTTGGGTGGCTTACTTGAATTCACAAGCTCTCAGCTGTGAGTGGCCAGGCTGTGAAGTTGTATGACTTTTGCAGTCTACTCCCTACAATGTTTAGTTATGATGCTGAACATTTGAAAGACAAGGTCTAAAATCATCGTTGACTATTGATTCAGCCCACTGGGTTTCATGACAGCGTCACTGTGAGGTGTGGATTATGAGACAACTTGAAAACCTCATGTTTCAATATCCATCGTGTTCTTACAGCTGGGACATCTTGATGAAGACTGCATAACGGAGCTTTCTGTGTTTCATGAGCAGAGCAGGGAGACTATAATGGAATTAATAACAGAGGTAAGGAGTATATATCAGTAACTTACAGAAATTAATGATGGTAATAGAGTAAAAAAATTGACTGTGTTATCAGATACTGTGTTATGTATTCTCAAGTATGACATTTTAAATACTTTGCAGATTTAAGGAGCCCCTGCAGAACTAGAATCTGGCTGTAGCTTGTAACTATAGTTCTGAAGTTCAAATTTGTTTATTTCTTTTTACCATTTGATTGTACTCATGATGTTTCCTAAATCTTACTGTTATTTCCCACTATGGTAAAATTCTTCTGAATCTCTGGAAGTTAAAGTAGATTTACAGAAATTTATATTTGCACAACAGATGCCATTTGCTGGGTTAGCTCTTTGCTTTGAAATGGTTCAATAAGTAGCAGGTGAAGAAAAAAGGAGAAAAATATCAGAGCAACACCAAGGTAGACTACAAAATATGTATTTTTTTGGAGTTACTATTCACAGTTTTTTAAAAGTAGTGAGTCACTTTTGACTACAACTGACAAAAGTTGAACTGACTACTTCTAGAAGAATTGTGCAAAGGTTAGCAATAACATTGCAAGCTGTAGAAGAGACTTAAAGCATACTCCAGCTTTTACCTGAATCTGAAAATTCTTCCTTAAAATTGAATTTTTTGCTTCTTTGTAATTGTTAGCAGTGACAATAGTTGGGTTTTTTTTTCAACAGTTGGGTTTCCCATGTAACTGTAGCAGAAGCAGACTTTTAAACTGTGTGTGATACTTACGATAGGTTTGTGGAGTCGATGCTCCTTGTTTTTCAGTTACAGCAAATGATCAGAAAAGTCTGTCTACATGGGGAAAAGTCCTTCCAAATAGCTTTGTGATATTTGCATAGTCCTTTACTGAAGGACTTCTAATCCCTTATAACTAATTCAAACTAACTGTATATGCTGCAGATCTATCAAACATGGTGCTTGTGTTCCTCACACAAGCAGAGTTGCTGAAAATCCTGCGAAAAGTTGGTGCTGTTTGTAGGGGAAGAATGGGCAGGAGGGACTTCAAAAAAATCAAATCTCTGGTTAAAATATTGGATAAACCCAGTTACTAGGTTTGCCATTCACTTCAGTAGATAGATCCTGATCCCAGCATTAGTTTCCATGCTAGCACATGAACTGCAAACTAACTTGCGAAGAACCTTCGTAGTGCCTGTTTCATGATCTCAGACACATAAAGTGAATCACCTGAAGTCTGAAATTACGCTGTGATCCAACATTAGGGTTGCACATCAGGTGGAAAAACTTGCAGAGACACAGAAATTTTCAGAAGGCTGAGCTTGCCTCATATTTGCAAGGTTTCCAAAGAGGAGATTAAAATACTCTTTTTCTCTCTGTGTCTTGCCAGTGGAAATATGACCAGATGTCAGCAACATACCTCTTGCTTCAATCCAAGAAGGCTCGCGGCAAGCGTGTGTGTTTAAGGTTTCCATGTCTAACACAGCATGCCAGAACCCTGCCGTTGGCAGGCCTCAAGGTAAGCTTGAGTTCAGCAGGATAGCATCCTGGTTAAAATCCTGCTCTGCATTGACAAAGCTCTGCCTGAGAAAACATGCTGGTGCTCTAAATATCATTAAGAGAACATGTATGCAGTCAGCCAAAGTCTTGGTCATTAAACAGTTGAGTCTTATTAACACGACCTAGCAGCTGGGATGCTTCTATGGATTGGCTTTATTGGAATACCTCTGGCAGGACACAATGTATCAAGTGCTGCACAGAATCCCTCCTTGGCTCATGTTAATGGGCCTAATCCTCTGTTGTCTGGCCTGTGTGATCATTCCAGATCTTGTTCTGTGATTACTAACTTCTTACTGCACTCCATGTTTCTCTCTCTATATTTTTGTACCTCGGGTTGCATTTCACATGGCTTAGTAAGGAAAATCTGAAATATCATGGCATGTCACCTGGGCAGCCTGCTTTGAGATGACATGGGCACTGTGTGAGCTGTTGATCAGAGAGCCACTCCTTCCTCATCTGTTTCCTTTGGGAACATAATCCTAGAGAGGACCCGGTTTATTTTGAGTAAAGGAAACATGTTGCTGCTTTTTTTCTGATGATTGGGATTTTCAAGCAGTTTTGTATATCTTAAGGGAGTTTCTATTCCTGTAGTTTGATAGCAAAGTGCACATAGGGCACTTCAGAAATTGGCCAAAGTTGCTAAATCGCTTGCGGTGTTGTATATAATATGCAGCTCTATGAGCTGTTGGTGATATTTGTCTGTTAGACAAACTGAGAAGCATTCAGTGGAATCTCAGACTTAGCATTAGCCATTCCCCTTTGAGCTGAGGCATCTGTGTGAAACTGCTTGAATGTGCTGTTTTCTGTGTAGAGGCAAGCACTCAGGAGAAATACTTTCTTATGTATCTGATTCAGTTGTGTTTAAATCCTTTTGGTTAACCCATACAGCTTCTTTGAGATGAGAATTGTAGGCTTACTAGAGCTGCGTAACAGATCGTGAACCATAAGTGTTTCTCAGGATGCATAATGTGACTTCATGATCATGGTAGGTTAGCCTTCTACACTCCAATGATTAAATGGAGGTTCTCTAGGTTCTGTTGCGCTGATACTGTGAAGTTACTGTATTGCTAGTGATGTCCTAGGTAAATTGGTCTGGCAAATGCTACTAACTAACATATGCATTACGCCTTCCCAGGTGACGGTGGGGAATTGCTGCACAATACAGCAATCCATTAATCCTCCAGCAGCACTCAGGACACATTTAACTTGCTTGTGTGTAGATGCTGTGGGTGAATATCAACTGAATTTGCTGAAACACCTACCTAGAAGAGCTCTCTAGCTGAACCTGGTCTAATGTGAAAACAACCAAGCAAACAGAACCTTTAATTTAGGCATTTCTGAATTTGGTGGCACAAGCTTGTACAGAATACTTCTTTATTTCAAGCAGTTTAATGTGGAAGGATATTGCAAAAAATTCACCATGCCATGAATTTTATCTGGAACACAGTAGCCCAGGTATCCTAATCAGGCATTCATGTTGTAATGGAATGTGATTTCAACTGTAATATCAGGCTCCTAGATTCTTGGCTGTAGTTAGCAGCCCTCTGGTAAGGGCTTTTGAGTAAATCATCATGGTAGGTCTGGCAGCATACCAGGGAGCTCTGTCTCTATTCCAGTAGCAATGAGAGATCAGTTCACTGTGATATCCTTGATCATAGGCCAACAGAAACTTACCTGCCAGCAGACATAACTTCCTAAAATGGTATCCATTCCAGCCAAGGACTACCAAATGACCGTGTGCAGTTTCACTGAAATACTATGGAACAAGGCATCGGGAAGAGTTTCCCGAAAATAACAAAAGGTGTTGGAAACTAAGGGTACCTTGATATGCATCTGACTGTATGTGGTGTGAGCCATGACGGTTAGCAATCTTGGCTGAAGTTATCAATTCCTTGATTTAACAAATGACAACTTTTTTGGGGAGCTACCCATCAGATGAAAGGTTCCAAATGCTAGTTCCAAGTATGTGTTTACCTTTATCCAGCCCCCTTTCAAATTTTGCTCTATTCTTTTACTATTAGGATTTTTGGTAAAAAGAGGTTGTAGTCCAAGCCTTGAATTCAAAGGTGGGTATTTCTATGAGTTGCTTCTCTTCTTGACACAGGTAATGAAAGATGACTTGGCAATGATGCTTTGAGAATAGTTTCACATCTGCTTTTGATACAAATGACAAATCCACAATGATGATATTAAAACTTAGGTCACCATCATGGGAACTTCCATTATTAGGAACTTAGAAAGATATTAGATTTAGATTTTAATGGTGCTTTTCTGATGAAATTCTACTTCTAAGCATGCAGTGGAATCTCAACTGAATCTTTCTTTTCAGTCTGAAAACATTGTGATGTGTGAAGACATGCCAGACTGCAGTGAAATGCCATGCGCGTTTGGATCCATGGAATTTTCAGATACAGCTTCACTGCTTAAAGAATCTCCTTTAGAAGAATTTATTCTAAATACTCATGGAACAAAACAGGTGTTTGATAAACTATTCTTAATCCAAAAACTATCTCATTGAACATAAAAATTATTGTGTATTTAAATGTTTAGTGGACCCTAGCCAAGATGAGTTACAAACTAAGTAATGAGGTGTTTTAAATATATAGGCTGCACATATGTTGTGACTTCCTCTAGCTGTAGGTCATGATTGATTTTTTTTATAACTTGACATCCAATTTGCATAAAATTAACATCTAGAAAATGAGTAAATGAAGATTTTAAAACTGCCTAGAAAAAATAAAGTGGAGCGAACAAGGTCTCGGAGCTAGGCTAGAGCTGCACAAGTCTCCGAAGAAGTGCAACCTGTCTGTATTGAACAACAAAATCCAGTGAAGCAATTAAAATTTTACAATTAAGCCAAATGAAAATTCTTAGCTGTGTTTCAATGAGTTGGTCACTAACAGTTTTAAATGGGCAAACAAAAGAGTTTAGAAGAGCAGATATAGTAGTGGCAAATTACTCAAGAACTTTATTAGCAAGTTATAGAAGGAATCAGAAGTATTGAAGAGTTTCTAACTATTTTGCTCTATAGGCAAGCATTGTACGGTATTTTTAACCTGCTTCAGAATTTCCTTTTCTGTAACATTCCTGAATATGGTCAGAATACCGCAAAGGATGCCTCTTTTCTTTCTGTTACATCTTTTGTAGCATTCAAAGCCTGATGCTCAATTGGATGATACGGAATTCACACTGTCAACTCCAGTGACAAAAAAAGTGGCATCAAAGAAGCATAAAAACAAAGAGAATGTAGAGACAGAGTCAGCTTTAAGAAATGAAATGCCCTTTGCACTTCCTGCTCCAAAGACTCCTTTTGCGAAGAGTCAGATTGAGACACAGGAACAAGCCGTACCCCCTCACACACCTGCCTTCAAAGGTACATGGAACGTAACTAATGACAGCTTAGAACATATATGTGGCTTGGGAATTATTGGAATTCAAATATGAGCACAATACTTGTGCATCCAACACATCTGTTTCTGGAAGACTTCTTTTGTCCTAGTCACCATCTTGATTTTTCTAGTACATCTGGTAGGGTGATGCAAGAGTTTTAACCATGCATCAGGGCATGTTACTTGTGTGTTAAGAACAGGAGTTATTACTGCTCACAGTATCACCTATGAGTTCCTTTTGACACATTCTAATGTGGAGCTAAATGCTGTGTTCCTAAAACTTGCACCTGGTTCTGCTTTTCCGTGAAGGTTGAGAACATGATTTCCTCAACACTCCAGTTTTCCTTTGTGATTACCTGAAGTGAAAATAAAGGTACACTTTTAGTCATCTGCTTTTATTGCTACTTCTAAGAGAAACCTAACTTTTGGATTTCTCATAGTTGCATATCAGCATTTTCACAGGAACAGTCCATTGTAGCAGTGAAAATACTTCTGTTAACAACATATAGGTCTTGCAGCTATGCAATAAACCTCAGAGATCTGTCTACATTATGTCAGCTTTTCTGAGTAATCACGTATTTCAATCCTCAGCCTGTCTAGTCACGTACATGTCCTGTATGTACATTACTGTTTCTTTCAATGACTACCATAGAAGTTTTGGTGTTGATACTGTAAATGCTATCTCTGTCCTTCAAATGCCAAGTGCTCCTTGCAATAGGAGAGTCATCTGTTCCAGATGCTAAGGAATATTGTTCAGGAACAGTAAGTCCTTGCAGACTGATTCAAGGAATAAGGGTTCTTGGACCTATTGCTGTTTAATGTCATCCTTCGTAAAGGGTTTAAACAATTGCAATAAAAAGACTAGTCTTTCATGAGTTTATCTTAAGATTGTGTGCGATAATGTGAAGTCTGACATCACAGTAAGTTTAAAAAGCAAAATAGGTACTCTCTGAAATGGGAAAGGCAGAAACACTGTTTTAGCTCACTTATTTAGATTTTTGATTATTAAACAATGAAAGCTAATTCTTCGATGCACTGAAAAATCTTTGATTCAGGAAAGGTATTAATACTTCCCTAGAAGTAGAAAAATGGAAGTATTCATTGGAAATTTTGAGGTTGTTTGTTTGGGATCAGGTGCAACTCTGTAGAAAGCTGAAACTTTGAACATTGAAGTTGGGTTTAATTGCACCAACTCATTTGATGACTGTTTCACTTAGTGTTTTCTCCTGCACATTCAAAACCATGCTCTGCAGACATTGACTTTTTAGGCTGCTATGTAACATCTACATCATGTATTAAACATGGCTATATAAACTTACACCCTTTGTATAAGGGAAATGGATCAGTGAAGAACACAACTATTTGATGCAGTGGATTGCTCAGTATTTATTGTGGGCGCAGTGGCAGAGCAAGAAAGCAATTCGGATCCTGAAATTCCTTATATTGAACTGCATTGCTGACTTGTAGAGCAATGGTTTGACTTGTAGAGCCCTGGGGAAATCAGTTGCAGTTTTAATTTGTAGAGTAGAGGTAGTACTGTTGTTGTATGAAAAACATATTTTATCATTTTGAAAATACAGACCTGAGATAGAAAAGGGATCTGATTTTTGAAATAAATTATTAATAATGAGAAATTGTTGCTGAAGAAAAGAAAATCCTTTATGCAAAGACATACCTGTTTGGCTTGGATGCTTTCTTTCAGAGAGCCAGTTCACTGCAGTCACCCCAATTAAACCCACAAACCTGACAAACACAGATGAATTCACAGCAGCTGAGGTTCTTCCTGAAAGAAGGTAAGTGTCCAGTTATTTGTGTACACTCCCGATTTAGAGCAGGACTGCCTTAATCCATGTGCTGCCTAGGAAGTCTTGTTACAGCAGCAAGCAGTAATTTCTATTCTCTTGGTAAAAACCTCCCTTAAACCTCTTTCTACAACACTGATGGTACAGAAAAGTTTTAAAACTATGTAACTCAATTATCTTTAGGATATATTCCTATTTTCCATAATGTGAGTTCCTATCCCAGTTCTCCAGAGGACTGCAGTTTCTAGATACATCTCTGGATTTAAACCTTTCAAACTTTTGAACAGAAACTCCTATAATATACTGCACTGGATTTGATTTTTTTTGTTATGGCATGTGTGGTAGTATTTTAGTGACATGTCCAAAAAATACTTAATTTTTTAACACTGAGAGAAAAATAACTGATTGATTTGTTCATGTAACAGATGTCACTCAGTGGAATTAGATCTCAACCTAGGTCACATGGATAGCAGCCAAAAGAAGAGAAAAGCCAAAATATTTGGAAGTCTTGAAAGAGGCTTAGATAAAGTGATCACAATGCTTACGCCAAGCAAGAAGAAACGATGCACTAGAAGTTGTCCAAGGAAACGTAAGGTATGGTTGCTGCGAAAGTCTTACAGGAGAACAAGTATTAGGACTAAATTAATTATATATTAATTATTATATTACAATTATTATTATTATTGAAAACATCCAATAGCTTCAGAAATGGTCTTGTGAAAGCTTCTGTGACCTGTCTTGCCTGCTTTCTACAGTAGGGTGCTCTTACTGTATTGTTGTTAACAAGACAATGCCCCAGTTTTCACAGTGGGCATTTCATCTTTTAGTCTGGACTCAGGCAAGTCATCCGATCCAGGTAGGAGTTTCATCATTGCTGCTTATAGCCCATCTAAACCAAATGTGAAGGAAGCAGAATGGTTTTAAAAGAGCCCTAGCTGACAGTTTTTCATGTTATTTGTAAAGAAATACTGCTAGCTGTCCCACTGAAAAATGCTAACCTTCCTGGCTTAGGTTTCTGTGACCCAGAAGCAATATGTCCATTCTAGGGTCATCCTTAGATGTCTAGGGAATCTGAAATTACACTTAGAGCCTAAATAACTACACCTTGTGAGAGAGTTTCTGACAGTGTCCCTGTAATTTAGATTGTTTAGGTTTCAATGTCACTGCATTCAAGCTGGTTGGCTATTTATCCTTTAGGTAGCCATAGAAAAAGCAGTTCCTTAGGCAGTGTGTTGCACAGAACACTTTAATATTTCATTATTAATTTGTTCTTACTGCAATTACTTATGAGGTTAATATTAACTGTGTAGAATACACATCACATGGCATTGGCATGATACTATTGTAGTGAACAGGACAGTCATTTGGTGAAGCAGCAGCAGTGGCAAATGAGGTAAGTCCAGGTGTGAGCATCTGATCGAGCTGTACAGGAGGGTTTTGGAGCTCAGGGACACCCAAGCAGCAGCTCCAAGCCCTGGCAGGACCCAGAAGCCCTTAGCAGGCAACCAGTTGTTGAGGGGCATTTCCAGAAGTAGCGACGGAGATTTAAAAGCTCCAGGGAGCACAAGTGAACAGGTGGACAAACAGGACGTGTTGCAGCAAAGGGATGTGGTGCAGCAGTTTGCGTGGCAGTTTGCATGGGCAGGGTGTGTGGGGAGGGTGCTGTACTCTGCAAGTAGGTGAAAGTGGCAGAGCACTGGAACAGGCTGCCCTGGGAGGTTGTGGAGTATCCCTTTCTGAAGACATTCCAAACTCACCTGAACGCATTCCTTTGTCACCTGCTTTGGGTGACCCTGCCTTGGCAGGGGTGTTGGACTGAATGATTTACAGAGGTCCCTTCCAAACCTAGCTATTCTGTTATACATCACTCAAATGCAACATATATACTTCAGAAGCTATACAAGGAGGAATTTGTACTTGAATCTGTAGGCAACATGTTTGAAAAATGTGATCACCATGAAAGAACACAGGTTGTGTACCAAGGCATAAGCAGTTCTGCAGAAGCCAGTGATGTGTCCCTTCAGTTGACTGGCTGCCGGGACATCTATTGCGGATGTCCGCAAGTTGTTCAAGAGTTCACTTAGTGCATAAGCTCTTATATGAAGTACTAGATGTGATGTATATAAAGTATACTTTACTTATAACAGTAAATTTTTGAGTAGTAAGTTACCTTTTTTCTTTCTACGTGAAAAGCGGCATGGTGCTGTGCCTGTTCCTTGATATCGGAAGCACTCAGTCTCAGCTCTTAAGGCCATCTCCCAACTGTAGGGCACGCAGCAGGGTGATGGTTTGGGGAAGTTGAAGCATTTGTCATGAAGATTAGCTGTTCTGAAACTTTCTTTGTGAAAACATTTTGCAATGTCTTCGGTTTTAGGAGAGATATTTTTATTTTTTTATTCCTCTAATTGTTTTAACAAGCTGACTATTTTAGGCACACTGCAATGTTACCATCACTCACCTACTGAATGCAGACCAACTGTTGAATGAAATAATCACTGTTCTTTCGAAGAAGCATGTGGAATATGTTCAGAAGGGGTAAGTGTAAAATATGATGGCTCCAACTTATATTTGTCTAAATAGATGTTACTCCAGTCTTTGATAAAGAGAGTATTTAAACTTACTTTCTTGACACCACTGTAAAATAATCTTATAGAAAATGTACAAAGCACTACATTAATGTGTGCGATAAAACTTGTTGACACAATGCAAAACTATGCTAAGTGAGCTCTAGCAGATCTCTTTGACCAACAGTTATCAACCAATAATAGTGAGATAAAAATTCACATCATCTTGTGTCTCATGTGAAATTTTAAATACAAAAAGTTTGCTTGGCTACAGTCACATGACCAAATGGGACAATTTGGGAAGTAACTTACTAATTTTTTAGCCCTCCTTCTTGGCAGTTAAAAGACATTAGCCTTTATCCAAGAGATCAGTATAGTTTAAAAGCTGTGCAGAATCTACACCATTGGTGGGTTAACTTGTAGGGTTTACTAGCTAGACTAAGGTACTGATTGGTTAGATTGGTTCTTACTTCTGATCAAACTCAGTGTCTGTTTCCTGAGTACCCAACACATGAAATAAACATTGTGGGCACTTTTCAATATGCATTTTCTCAAGTTCTTGAGTATTTCAATGATGGGCATTGTAAAACATCAGAGTATACATCAGCCTCTGATGCATTCCCAAGCTCCGAATCTGGAAGGATGTTGGATTGTACCGCAGCACCTTCTCCCATTGTAATGTTTCAAACTGTGCATTCAGATTTTCCTATTTTCACACCAGCTAAGCTGTAACAACCAGAGATAAGAGTGGTCTTGTTTAGGAAAAACATGGGAACTTCCCATCATTCCAGCTCTGAGGATGAGTGTCTGTGGCTAGCCCCTAGGGGTTCCTGTGGCTGGGTGGAACATTGGTGCTGAACGCCTGGTCCTTGGTCATAATGATAACAATAGTACTCTGATAATAAAGTATTCACAAAGCTCTCAGTTGACTAAATTGTGGGTTGTTTCCCAATATTCTCAGTAGCAATGGGATATTTTTTGTAAAGTGGTTTTATTAATTTAAAATTGCATTGCAAAACAAACATTAAATGGTTCAATGATTATTCTGTTTTCCTTTTTGTTTTCTACAGTTATACCCTGAAATGTCGAACACGGTCAGATTTTGGTAGAGTAACTATGGAGTTTGAGTTAGAAGTGTGTCAACTCGATAAAACTGAAGCAGTGGGTATTTGGCGACAACGGCTTAAGGGTGACGCCTGGGTCTACAAGAGGCTGATGGAAGACATCTTATCTAGCTGCCAAGTGTGAGTGGCAGAGGCTTTTATCATGGTGTTTTGGAAAGGTCTGTTCAGAGAAGTAATTCTTTGTCACAGTCACAGCTATATTTGAAAAATCTGTCATATTTCTTCTGTTTTAACCATCCCTTTTTGTACATATGCCTTCTGTACGTTTCCTTTATTAGGTTCATAATAAATGTTCTGCAACTGCAACTTTTCTGAAGCAAAATTCTGTAAGCTGTTCCCTCTCTCATATATTTTTCACATATCTGTGTTAAAAAAGTAGTGGTGTTTATGTGCTGAAGCTTTTTGTGCTATGTCTTCAGTTATCAAGTGCATGTGGCACAGAAATTGTAATTTGCATAATTCTCTTGTCTCTGCTTAAGTAGGATTTATTGAGATCATTAACTAAGTCACAGCTGTGGTTCCCAGAGTTACACTATATGCTCAGTGTTGTACAAAATAGGACTGGCTTCAATAAATGTGAAGTCAAGAGTGCTTGGATTTAAACTGTGATCTCATATAAAGTGTTGCCGTATCTCATTACAAAGCCTCAATGACACTTAATAAGCCTGTGCACTTTCTGATGCTCTCATGTTAACGTGATGATATAAGGATCATTGAAGAACAACAGCACCTTTGAACTGTTGGGAATGGAGAAGGCATTTGTCACCCTGACTGTCTACAAGGAATCCAGTGACACCTTTAACAGAATGTAACAGAATTTAAGCACCGGAAATAAAACTTGAAATATGCAGAACAAGAAAGGACACCTAAGAGGTGGCTGGGGGGGTTGGGGTAATACCTTTAGAAAATGGTGCATGTGCTTGTGCTGTCTGTTGTGTGGATTGTTTATTTTTGCCTTTAGCTATGCTTCAGCAGCAACCACATCCGGCTGAACCCAAGCAACAGCAGTGGGAAGACACATGTTAAAGCCTTTCTGTATGCAAAGACTTCCAGTAATACCTAGACAAGTTGACAGTGTGCTGCAGCTTTTTCTTAAACTACCTGGAGGCAACTGGCACATGCTGCATGTACAGCCCACGTTATCACCCCTTAACTAGAGCCTGAGGCACATCCACACAAGGGTTAGGTGGGTGGAGGGCTGAGCATTGCTGAAAACTTGCAGTGACAGACATGTGGTAATGAAAGCTGTCTGCTTGTTTTCTGTGACCATTACTGCAGGAACTGGAGGACGTGTTTTGTGTCTACCAAGGTAGAAGTGTCCCTCAATGCTTTTTTCCAATGCCAAGTTGTCAGTTTACTGCTTTTTAGACAGGTAAAGGAACAGGGACATTTTTAGCAGTTTTGAAGAAAAAGTAGGAATACTTGCAAGCAGGGAGAGCAAAGAGAAAACTGTTGCTCTTTGAAACATTTCTGGTCAAGAACCTTTTAGATGCAGAAGGGACTATAAGGAAAAGAGGGACAACATGAACAATGACACAAGTTCACCTGACAGAGGGTAAGAGAGGTTGTAACGAGAGTCAGGGTTGGTTGGTCATGTTAATTGATAAGGGGTGTGGAACGTGGTCGTGTTCACTTTGGAAAGGTTATCTAACTGAGGACCTTGTCAAATGGCATAGTAAGGAAAAGGGGGAAAGTCAGAAATAAAAAATATAGGGATGCAAACCTGACAGGCAGTCCTGCAAGGAGAAGGGAGTCAGACTTGATGATCCTCGTGAGTTCCTTCAGCTTGATGTATTCTGTGATTCCGTTCAGTGACAGAAAGACAATAAATGCTGTCAGTCACAGCGAGTGGAGGGGCTTTGGGAAAACTGCAGCAAATTGGGACTTTGCAGCTAGTGAGACTGGAATCCCGAGGGTGTGGGATGTTGGGGGGAGTCAATGGGAAGGTGCTAGCTGATGGGGTGATGCTCAGGGGTCTCAGCCCAGTGCTGGCTGTGGGGCAGAGCGTCTGCACCCCCCCAAGCCATGTTGAATGTGGGTATTCCCCAGCAAATGTGAAGCTGGACCAACAGGTAAGCAGGACGCCCTAGGTCGGGGCAGGGGTGTCAGGTGGGCAAAGACTGCGTGCTGGTTTTGAGGGCGACACACAAGCCTGGGGTGTACCGAGGGGCCCACGTGTGACTGCTGCATGCTTTCAGTGAGCACTGGGCTAGACCAGACAGCAAGGAGGGGACACACATACAGTCAAGGCACAGGCAGTGTTCTGCGGTACTCTTGGCTGTGCTTATGCTAGAGGAGACAATTATACTCTTGACATTCCTTAACTGCTAGTACTGAAGTGTAAATGGTGATGCCCACACATATAGGAAATCTCCTAAGTGGAGTGTGACTGGCACATAAATTAAAGGTTTGTGTTGCCAAAAGCACAGCTAACCTATTGTTCTACTAAATTAGTGCTTAAAGCTTCATATCAGCATTTAAATACTTTTGGTATTCCCAGCTGCAACATGACACTCCTGTTTGGTTTCTGCATGCTGAAATTTGAGTTTGCTAAATATCAGTTGTAAATCAGGTGCAAGTGGTGGAGCAGCCAAGGGTTGTAGCTGATGCGTCTCTTGAGTGCTGCAGTGTTGTGTGAGCTCTGGTTTTCCTTGCTTTCTTTTTTTTCAATACAAACTTCTCAAGAATTTGGCTTCTGTCTGGAACTTGATCAGAACTGAAGTAAGGGTAGAAGGGTTGATTGAAGGAGGCATATTGATAACAGTCTCACTAATGAATAGCATGCTATATGTTTTAAATCACCAGTCACAACCGTGAAGCCCAAGGGCTGAAGAACTGAAACATTCAATTGCCTTTGCACTCCTTGAGTTTTAAATTCAGGAAAGACTACAGAAGTATCCTGGAACACCCTAACTGCCACTGCTCAGAAGCACATTCTGTGTAACTATCTCCTCCCTGTGGTGACAAAACTGATGTTATGAATGCACAAATAGTAATTAAGATGTCTTCTTCGTTCCTTTTAAGGTAAAAATCACTGATTTAATTCACATTGTCTTACAAGCTGATGTGCGAAATAAGGTGCCTCTTCATAGGCTACCACGTCGACTTTTTTTGCTAATATTCCTTGCTGTGAATGCATGCCATCTGGTGATAGGAATCAGTGAATGTGCAAGAACAAGAATCATTTGTGCTTTTTTTTTTTTTAAACTAAACTGCTGCTACTTGGTCAGTAATTGTTTTTACTGAGATTGCTGGAAATCTATTTCAGCTGACTTCAGGTGGAACTCGGAGAAAAAAACAAAGATGAATAGACGGAGGAGATATGTGGATAAGGAGAAGCACCAGTTGCGTGCCAAGCTTGTGGAAGTCTGCACAAAGGAACAGAGGGCCTGAAGATTTATTTTCAGGCAGCCAGGTTGTACATCATGTGTATCAGTCTTGAAAGCATGCTTGGTATGTACTAACCTCTCTCCCTTGACTAGCAACCTCTTTGAGAGTCTAAACTCAGTTTATGTTCGTTATTATGCTAGTTTGGGCTGAGACTGATTTAATTTGTTCCCAGGAGCTGCTACAGTGCCATATTTTGGGTTTAGGATGAGGATAACGTTGAGAACACACAGATGTTTTCCCTGTTGCTAGGCAGTGCTTAACCTAAGTCAAGGACTTTCAACTTCTCATGCTCTAAGCAGTCCTGGGGGCACAAAGAGTTGGAAGGGGGCACAGCTGGGATAGCCGACCCCAAATGACCCAGTTGCCACTCCCAGATTCCAAGTACCTTCTGAATTGCAAAAGCCATCCAGGTTCACCTGAAGGCACATTGGTATATTTTGTTTGGTCAGATCTTAGTGTTTAAGTAGACTTGAACAAAGCAACTCAGTTTCTGAAAACCTGTTTTGCTTAGTGAAAACACTAAGCTAAAATCTTAAAACTTAGAGACTAAGCTAATTTTCCCAACATCAGAGATATTGAATAAACCATAGCGACTTCTACTGCATGTCCTAGAAGTAGGAGGGACAATTGCACATTGGTAAATAACACTGTTGTATCTTGTGAACAATGTATGCAGCATCATTCACATGGATACTTGACAGGTTAGAAAAATATGTATGGCAGATTTACTTATTTTTGTCAGTCAGCTCTGGTTAAATGATGTAGATTTGGACACCCTGTGAACTGTTCCTTTTGTTTAATATAAGGGCTGCACTTTGTTAGAGAAAATGAAATAATCCACTGTCATTTTTGTTTTTATCATATTAGGGTTTTGGCAGACAATATGTTCAGTTTCCAGTATTTAGTTATTTATGTGCTACTAACTAGCTTTGCTACATTCCCTAGAGAAAGCTCCATTAAAACTCTTAATGTGACACTACATATTTTTAGTAGATTAGAAAATAGTTGCAATTTTAATTTAAATTGAAATGACTGTGTAATGGCTGGACAGATCACTCTCAGATCCCTAGAGCTCTTAATTGTAATTCTCCATTGTTTCTGTGCATAAATTTTCTTTTTAAGTGCTCATTCTGAAATACTTAACTAATTTTTTTGAATGTACTGTACTCATTTAATAGTTTTTTTATGGTTAACAACTTCATGATTAAACTTAAATGTTAAGTGGTGGAAATTATATGCCTAATCAAGTGTTGGGAAAATAAAGTGTGTTTATATCTTGAGATGACATTAATTTAAGGACCTTCTCTTTGAGGAAGGAAAGAGAAGGGGAAAAATATCCTACTGGGAGTAATGGGCAGATTTCATTGTGTGTCTGTAGCAAAGGAGCAAAAACCATTTCTTTAGCCCTTCCTACTGCCTCCAGTCATCGTGACATTAAAACCACCCTTTACCCAACAACTCCCCAAAAAGAAATCAGGTAGTTTTTCTCTTGCATCACCCACATTCTGATTTGGTTTGAGCTGGGCAGACCAAGGGGCAGCTCCTGCCTCTTGGGGGTCAGCACCTGTCCTAACCCTGACTCCCATGGGAAGCTGTTTGGCCCTGCTTCACACAGGGTTTCCGAAGTCCATCTGAGCCAGATACACCTACAAAGCTCTGTGCTCACCAGCAGCTCGTGGGGTGTGAGTTAGCTTCAGTGGTCACAGACCTCGAAAGCAGACTATAGGCTTTCTCCATCCTCAGCATTATGTTTTCACCCGTAGCAAGTCTTCCTTCCACATACATGTCCCACACCCTTTAGAGCCTTCTTACCCGTATCACCTTCCTCCTCCTCCTTCTCCCTTTCTTCCAGAAAACTTGTACCTTCTCAGTTTGTGGCAGCTTTCAGCTCCTTTGCCTCCCACTCAAAGCCTCCCTCTGGAGGATGCTCGTTACCTCCCACGACCCCTCTGGGTCCTTGGTTGCTTCTCATGGATTTCAGTTTTCCCAGGCTCCCCTTCCTGCCAGCTTGAGTCCTGTCATTGCCACTTTTCCTGAAGACAATATAAACAGAGCGAGTTAAGGACCATCCCTTCTAGGGAAAAATTCTCCCTTTTATCTGCTGGCAAAAGGAGAAATTACTGTCTCAGACAGACTGTTTGCTTGCAACAGCAAGATGAAGATGAACCTTCACAAGACTCACAATCCCAAGGAGGAACTAT